TAACAGTTTGGCAGCAGCGTGGAAGGGCCACTTGAGGGTGATGGTTTTCTCTCATGCATAATGCATGAGGCAAAACACTGTATGTAATTACTGCAAACCTAGGACCGTGCCCGTATTCAGGAAGATGAAAATAAGCCGTTAATGACCTGAAATCAAGTTACGTTTTTCAATACCTTTTCACTCCTCTTTCAAAACCAACACAATTAGAACACTAATAACTGGCTGGACATCCAGAGCCAGAAACAATTGACAGCTTTTACTCGTTTGTTGGAGTAACTGTCCATGCTCTTGGTGGGAGCCGAGAGACCCCGTTAACTGCTGAACGCTGCCAGGATGTGATTATTCCTCAGGCAGCCTAAGGCTGCGTCCTCCCATGTCGCTCTGAGTGGACTTTCACACCTCTACACTCAGACGTCCATGTGTTGTTCTTAACCCCCTGATCGCACATGACCGTCCCCTTGTGCTCTCTGCAGCACAGCTGAGAAAGTTTGGCTCCTTTTACGTGGTGGAAGCTGCCTCCTATCAAGTAAATTGCATCAGAAGTGCCACAAATCGTAGCGAAATACTGTAGGAAATAACAAAGGACAAAAAGGCTTGTGATAAGCTGTCAGGGTCACTGGGAAGAAAATGGAGAGTGCTTGGCAGCGGTAGATGACAGGAGTGTAAAGAGAACCAGCCTGTAAGCATCACTGCACAGCACATGCCCTCTGAAATCCCACCCAGTCACCCAGCTGGAGGTGTTCGCCTCCGAGACCCCTCAGCAGCCTGCCCGGAGGGGCTGCATCAGCTCGCCCTGCGGGAACAGTAAGTGGTAGAGCACAGGCTGGCACGCTCACGTTCCTTCTCACTAGTCACCTTCTAGCCACAAGGCTAACAGCAGGTCAGCCTCTGACATGTCAGCTTTAATGCTCAGAGGAGCTTTCTCGGCTGCCAGCAGTGACAGGCTGTTGCTCTGTGCCTGCCAGCCGCCGAAGGTGAGCACGCTCCTTCCTGGCACGTGCAGGGAAGTCACAGTCACCAGACGGTGTTTGCGGGTCCTGGCCTTGCAAGGCAAGGTTGAATGTCCCTGCCCCAAAATAGAATTAAGGCAGGAAGGGGGCTGGGAGCAGTCCTCAAAGACAAAGAAGCAAGAGGTGATTTTGGGTGTGCAGGAGCTGAAGGAGGAGCACAGGGGCTGAGCAGAGTGGGGCCAGGACACAAAGCGTGCTGTCAGCAGCAACCAGCGAGGAGCGTGGTTGACAGGGGTTTGACTGGGAAAGAGATGGATCTCTGGAGCAGG